AGTGATAGCAGTTTGTCACAAAAGACCCATTTGTATTAAGGAACCAGTGCCGCGATAGGTAATCTAACTTATGGCCGGCTATTTATTGACGAATACACCTGGTTAAGAATTGGAGCGTTTATGATTCTCAGTAAATTCCTGGTTTCTAAAGGCACTCTATACGCCGTGTTTCCCAAATGTGTGTATAGTTCATGGGTTATAGAGCTTTCGCAAATGTGCGTTCTAAAGTGCAAAATTGGTGCTAATACCCTTGAAGGGGCACTGGACAGACACCTAGCTGAACTAGGATCAGTGCTGAGGGATCCGAATAGAATTACCGTACTCCGAATTGGTGCACCATCCCTTGCTCTTTTACCCTTGAGGCATAGGCAAAAGTTCTTATTGGGACTGCTGTACTTCCAACTTCACGCGATGGGTTCTTCGAGTGCCCTCTCCCAGATGAATAAAGTAAGTAATACGGTCAATTTCCATCTTCCTTGTGATCATTCTGCACTCCATTCCCACTAATGGAGTAGGCGTAGCTGCATACTTCATTCGAACCTGGCTATGGTTGTAATTTTGGTAAGATATTATTTAGCTCTCCAGTAGAAGACCACGGCTTATGGGCTTTGGGCTGTGAGTACGTTAGATCAATGTGTTTTATTTTGATTATTTTAGTAAAAATTTCTGAATCGTTCTACTGCCCCTCTAGTAGTGACCCAAGTCGCTTCCTACGCGATTATGTGAAAGATGTATGAACCGCTGTTATCAGTCCCTTGCCGTCACATCAAAGTAGCAGTTAACTGCAGCGATTTCCCGTTTTCCAGGAATTTCAGCCCTTTCAGAAAAATTGCCGTTACATATTTTTCGAGCATCTCATTTTTTCACTCAAATTGCTCTTTTCTGAAGTTCTATGTTTTATTTAATTTTTGTTTTTCCTAGGATTCATCAGAAGCTACAGATAGTTTTATTTTTTTGGGGGCAATAGATCTTTCTTTGAGGGATTTTCTGAGTTGGCTTCGGAGGCCTTTTGTTTGCCTTTTGGGACCGACCCTTGAATGGGAATGACGTTATTCGATGCATGAAAAACATATGCTTGCAAAGAGAAGTGGTCCTAGAAAACAATATTGAGTTTCGTATCCTATTGGTAAATCATGGATTCGGATTTCAATGGCCCTAATCCTTTGAATGTTTTCAGGGACCATCAACATCGTCTCCACAGCTTTCGATGGGTCTTCTAAAGAAGGCGCAGACGGCGGCTATGAACCGAATTTCTGGCGTTCGAAAGCTGAGAGCGCCTTCTCACGAAGGTCATCTACCTGAATATGGAGTGCCTTGTGCCAAAGAGGTCGCCGTCTACATGCAACAGGTAAGGATAATATTTCAGCTCATATGGCTCTCTACTGCGATTTTAGAGCTGGGCCCATCGGGACTCTTTTTTGGGGCACGGGTGGTAATTACCTCGTCGAACTTTTTTCTGATTATTGATTCTTCCTGTTTCAAGTACATCAGATCCGCTTTCCCCTTGTGGTCTTTTCCGCAAGAGCGCGTTGCACTTATAGGGTTGCAGCGAGGGGATTGTATCTGGTCGGTGGAGGGGGAGAGGGGGGTGTCGTGTCCCTTCGGTGAA